TCACACCGGTTTCGTACAACTTCAAAAAAAATCCTTCAAACAAAACTTTTTTACGTGCTCGATGAAAGCGACAGAGAGAGAGACATAGATAGATAGAAAACTGAGCTGTATCCATAAAAGCAACCGACAAGGCTAAAATGGAAATTGTGAATGACTATGTATTGTTGACAGGGGTGATGAGGATAAAGTGGAGTTGGTCATTGGCTCATGATTTTGCTATCGTGCATCGTTGTTGTCCCATCGCTTGTTTGATGGTCTTTATTTTGTCCCATCTCAAGCCCCTTCCCCTTGGAAAATATTTATTTTACCTTTGTTGCAACACAACTAAAGGGAATTAAAAACAGTATTTTTACGAGCAAAGTGAAAGATTTCGTTGCATATGAATCGCAAAGTGAGACATCGATCGAAGAAGCGAACACAGTCCCATCGGGGGGAAACACTCGTACAAAACTTTGAAACTCTCGTCTGAGACGCGCAGCAAAAAAATGCAAGTTAATTTTATTCACCGCATGGTGTGCTATCGAACACGTTACGCCGTCCGCGTTCCAGAGCTGAGAGCATTATCCGTTACTTACAGCGACTAATTTGAGATGTGATTCACCGACAAAGACATACTTTCTCCTCTGAGGTTAAATCACTCGCCGTTCAGATAGTCTACGGATAATGGAACCGCCATCTGCCTGCTGTCAAATTCAGAGTTTCAATCTTTTTTATTCCCTGCAACCCTGCGAATTTATGACGTCATCTGACACTGTTGAACCCCATTTAGTGTAGGTAACACGAGCGGGCATAACACTGATAGACAAGTGCCCTTAGCACAAATCGTATAAACTTCCGTAAAGTCAGGCATGACCAGTTGTCAAAAAGTCACTGGACTTTCCATCCCAGAAGTTCACAGAAGTGAGAACTTCCAGATTAACATGACCTTTTAGCGAGATAGATCACGTCTTTGTTGTCATCCGAAATTAAATTTCGTGAGGTCATTTAGCGTCTACCTACTGGCCCACCGGTTTTCCCAATGCATGTCCAAATTCTGTCATTTGCGGCAGTCATTGAGGATGATTTGGAGCTGTGGACAGCAATCCGGAATGAACTGGATCACCGGACCGAGACGAATAAGTTGGATAAACGATGGTACACTGGTCCTTCCGATGAATAAGACTAAATACACATGGAATATACGATTTGAGAAGGGATGGCTTGTGTCAACCACTCAGAAAGTACAGGTAAAAGTACCAAAACAAGAAGGAAGGACTGAGTAAGGTACGTTGGTCTTTATCTAATCTTGCATGCATTCAAGACATTGTATATTCTGTCATGGATTGGAATGTCCGGCTTTGTAGTTTTTCCTTCCATGATAAAATTGGTGTGAACAAAATAAAGTGAAATGTTTCGGGAGAAGATTCATTCATGATGATCGTAATCAACTCCCGACACTCTTTTTTCCTTGCCGTTCTACCACGCGATCGAGCCTGTGCGGATTCGACGGAAAATCTTGGTATTCGATCCTCAT